GGTTTAGGGTTTGAGGTTTGGGGTCTAGGGTTTAGGGTTGAGGGTTTAGGGACGGTGGGAGGGGGGGGACGTCTGATACGTACCCTGCAATACAATGGGATAGCTATAGATTTTCGCTGTTCATAGTTGAAGGGTTTGGGGTTGAAGGGTTTAGGGTTTAGGGTTTAGGGTTTAGGGTTTAGGGTTTAGGGTTTAGGGTTTAGGGTTTAGGGTTTAGGGTTAAGGCATCCCTGTGGTGCTGTTAAGGGCAACATGTCATGGGCCGTACTGTGACGGGGGCTCTCAAGAAGCGAGTTGACCACTTGCCCCGACCTGTCAGTGTCTAAGGTCTTGGCTTCGGGAGAATAAGGAGGGTTTGCGGTTTAGGGTTTAGGGTTTAGGGTTTAGGGTTTAGGGTTTAAGGGGGGACAGGGGGGGGGGGGGTTTTCAAGGCTTGCCTGGAGGATCGCTCAGCGAGACCCTGCGCAGGGTTTGCGTGCTAAACTTCTGAACCCTGAACCCTAAACCCTAAACACCAAACCCTAAACCCTGATAAACCCTAAACCCTAAACCCTAAACCCTAAACCCTAAACCCTAAACCCTAAACCCTAAACCCTAAACCCTAAACCCTAAACCCTAAACCCTAAACCCTAAACCCTAAACCCTAAGCTGAGAGGAGTACAAGCGCGGCTTCGGCGTGCCAACCCTGATCGCCGTCCATCCCGAGAACGACCCCAAGGACTTCAGGGTTTGGGGTTTCGGGTTTAGGGTTCAGGGTTTCGGGTGTAGGGTTGAGGGTTTAGGGTTCGACTTAGGGTTTAGGGTTTCGGGTTTAGGGTTTAGGGTTTCGGGTTTGTGGTTTGGCGGTCGGGGGGAGGGGAGGGGGGTTTCGGGACGACGCAAGGGTGGTGTATAGCTGGGGTTGATTTGGAAATCGCGGTTCAAGTTCTATGGGCCCTCATCCAAGCGGCTATATGGCCTCACAGATCTTTGGACAAGGCTCCCTGAACCCTAAACCCTAAGCCCGAAGCCCTGCAATTCCGAACCCTGCATCGCACACTTCACCCTTGCCTATCGCACACTTCACCCCTGCCTACCTAAGCCCAAAGCAGAAAAATATTTGTAGTCTCCCTTGTTCTAGAATGTTCCTCAGGGCACGCTGAAATCACAATCCCTGCAAACCGAACCATAACCATATCCCAACCCTAAGCCCTAAACCCCAAACTCTAAACCCCAAACCCTAAACCCCAAACCCTAAACCCCAATCCCTAAATCTCACCCTAAGCCTCAAACCCCAAACCCCAAACCTCAAACCCTAAACCCCAAAAGCCTAAACCCGAAGCCCTAAACCTTCAACCCTAAACCCTAAACCGACTGCCAGGGTGACGGCCTGGACATCGCCAAGGCCTACGCTGCAGCGACGGGCGGCGACCGCCACGCAGCTGATATTAAGATTTTAGGTTCATTGAGGGTTTAGGGTTTGGGGTTTAGGTTGAGGGTGAGTTGCACGGGTGGTTCTCCAAATTAGGGCCCCAGAAAAGGGCCCTTAATTTAGAGAACTACCCACGTGACGACCATCCATTCTTCTTACCAGAAGCATATCATGATTCTTGTAGCCCCAGACCCTATACCTTTGACAAATAATTGCAAAGCTCCCCCTCGGGGTTGGATTCAGGATGAGGGCGTCTGGGGCTCGGTCGAAGTGCACCGCTCCGTTTGCTGCAGGTGCTGGAGTTTTGCTGAGCTCCTTCGTGGCAGAGGCAGCCACGCGATTGGGCGTAGGATCAAGGGTTTGGGGTTTGGGGTTTAGGGTTTAGGATTCCGGGTATGTTGGGGTGTAGGCTCTGCATGTTGGGAGCCCAGAAGCGGATCGGTGGCAAGTTTGCGCGATTTCGGGCTGCTCAGGCCCAGGGCCGAAACCGTCTCCACCCTGCATCTCTCACATCAAACCTGTCAAGCTCGGCTGTGGGAGGGCTTAGGCCCGTATCTTCCCGTGCTGTTGCACTGGCTTACAAGTGCTTTGATGGGAGGTTTACTTGGTGGTGCTTTACTGTAACTTTAGATTTTTAGCCTTTTGGGTTTATTGGGTTTCTTAATAAGGCAGCTAAAAGCTTAATTTTTGCTACCGTCCTAAGTGCAGCCAAGTTTAGTGATGCCATTGGTCCCCTCGAACTGGGGCTCATCGACTCCCTTTGCTACCATGCTTTGTGGGGAGCTCAACAGGGCTCCATGCTTCTTCAACCCTAAACCCTAACCCCTAAACCCTAAACCCTAAACCCTAAGCCCTAAGCCCTAAGCCTTAAGCCCTAAGCCCTAAACCCTAGGTTGGTTGGCATCCTGATCTTCTCCGCAGGTCAAGAGCGACTTGATGGGCGAGCAGACAATTCTCTGCGGCATGCTGCAGACAGGCCCCTGCCTCCGCTGGCCTGCGCATGCTTAGGGTTTAGGGTTTAGGGTTTTGGGTTTTGGGTTTTGGGTTTTGGGTTTAGGTTTAGGGTTTAGGGTTTAGGGTTAGGGGTTAGGGTTTAGGGTTCCAGGGAGTTTTTGGAATTTGGGTTTAGGGTTTAGGGTTCAAGAAAGTTTTTGTGTTTGGGTTCAGGGTTTAGGGTTTCTGCCAGCCCCAAATGCAATACAACCCGTACTTTGGGGAGGTTCATGCGTACGTGAGAAAGTGGAGGTTGCAAGTACCCTACAGATGGTTATAATTTGCCAAGTAGAACTTTAGGCACCTTACCCTAAACCCTAAACCCTAAACCCTAAACCCTAATTACACCCAACTTTCAAGTTCCCTAGTGATCCTGTCTTCCTCCTCGCCCTCAAGACGCGCCATCTCAGAGCCACCGGAACGTCCTCGAAGTGCCCTCGAAACCCTATAAGCCCCATGTAGGGTTTTGGGTTTAGGGTTTAGGGTTCGGGGCCAGAAGCCCTAAACCCTAAACCCTAAACCCTAAACCCTAAACCCTAAACCCTAAACCCTAAACCCTAAACCCTAAACCCTAAACCCTAAACCCTAAACCTTAGCCCTAAACCAGGAGCTGTCCTCTGCTTCGACAAGATGGTGGAAAAGGGCATTGACGCTGGCTACGTTCCCGGCTTAGCCAGCGACGTTTCAAACCCGAATCCCTAAAAGGGTTTAGGGTTTGGGGAAGAGCTCAGTACCCCTTCATGAAGGAATAGACCTTCAGTCATAGTCTGGATCCCTATGAGGCATCTTGATAGTAACCCTAAACCCTAAACCCTAAACCCTAAACCCTAAACCCTAAACCCTAAACCCTAAACTAGTTGCACCGTCATCAGGATCACTCTGTATGGTTGAAGGTATATTCACTAAGGGATATTGGGCACTCTGAGCCCCTGCAGCTTTCCAGGACCCACCCTCCCAAAAAACCCCGCAAAAGGGGCCTGCGCGTACCGAAATGTGGTTCCGTCCGTAAACCGAAACCAACTACCCTCAACCCGAAAATCCTATAAACTGGATCCACTAAGCCCTAAAACCCCTAAAGCCCGAAATACTGGAAGAGAGACTCAAACTCTGACCACACCCATGTTTACAGGGTCCATGGGCTGTAGGGTTAGGGTTAGGGTTTAGTTAGGGTTTGGGGTTTGGGGTTTAGGTTTTAGGGTTTAGGGTTTAGGGTTTCTAGTTAGGGAGGCCTGAACGTAAGAGCTGAAGGAGATGTGGGTTCATGGGCCTGCCTCTGAGGCATCGAAGCTGATTCAGTATGGCTGGGAGACTATCACCGAGGTCTGCTGGTTACTGGTTGATTTGTGGGGGTTTTCAAGGGAGGGAGGTTTCATGGGGATGGGCGGGGGGGGGGGTAGGTACCTGGGGAGTAGTGGGGCCCTTAGTGGGGAGTATTTTGGCAACCTTGGCATACATACCCCCGCTTGAATCCCCTCCTTTAAGCACTCCATAAATTGATTTGGCGGTTGCTGAGTTGCATTTGGGATGGGCACTGTTGTGCAAACAGACAGCTTCACTAGCACACGCTCCAAACCTCCGATTCCTACACCGTGAAAACCCTAAATCCCTAAAACCCTTTACCCCACAACCTACAGCCCCAAGCCCTAAACCCTAAACCCTACACCCCACGCGCAAAAAAAGGCCCTCAAGCATGGCGGCATCACCGGCATGATGGACCGCCTGGACAACCCATCGAAGTTGCTTCCTGGCGGCCTAGACCCTATAGCACCCCAAAGCCCGAAACCCCTGAAGCATTGAGATGTTGGTTTAAGGTTTAGGGTTTAGGGTTTAGGGCTTAGGACTTAGGACTTGGGGGTTGGGATGGGCTTAGGATTTTGGGTTAGCGATTCATTTTTCCGCCTCTGAGGTTGTACCTTTTCCCCCCCACAAAGCTCAGCCGGTACCCGAACGTAAACCCTTGAACCCTCAACTCTGAACTCTGAACCCTGAACCTTAAACCTTAAACCCCAAACCCCAAACCCACAAACCCCAAACCCTAAACCCAAGCCGAACCCTGCAGCCTCCGTGGCAGAAGCCTTCAGAGCTGGCGCGAAGGAAGTGCTACGAGCTGTCCGAGGAGCTGAAGACCCTCATGCGGCCGCTCTACGCCGCGGCCCCGTTTTTTTGCGCCCTTGAGGGTTTAGGGTTTAGGGTTTAGGGTTTAGGGTTTAGGGTTTAGGGTTTAGGGTTCAGGGTTCAGGGTTTAGGGTTTAGGGTTTAGGGCTTGGTAGCCTAGTGGTGCCTTTCTCCCTTTTGTTTCTAGTTCAGGGTTCCCTATAAAGTAGCCACCGCTAAAAAGGGCACCCTTTCTTACTTTCTTGTATGTGGTTACTGGGCTACCCTAGACCTGAGGTCCGAAACCCAAACCTTCGCAGCGTTTTTTTCTCCGAAAGAGGTGCCAACGGCTTGCAAGGGCATTTTAGTAGGGGTGGATGACTTCTGAGTGGGAGTTTACAAGCATCAGGGTCCACATCCTCAAGGCTTCCAGCACGTCCTGCAGTCCTGCACCCAGGCCAAGCACCAGGACGACATCATCACCGGATTTTTCTCCGAAACCATGATGAAGGACTGGGACAACGATGCCTCTCGGCGGCCCTGGAGGGAAGTTCGATTCTTGGGTTTTTTGGGGAAGCCGGGGCACCCCCTTCATGCTTCGAAGGCCAGGGTTACGTACAGCCCATCTAAGTTTATATCTGCGCTGATATGACTCATCTCTAAGGCCCTTCTTGCCTGAGAGTGGCTTTTCTCAAGAGGCGCCCGTGAACCTGCGAGTCGCGCGTGCGCAGCCCGACGTCCTGCCCAAACCCGAAACCCAAAACCCTAAACCCTAAACCCGGAAACCCTGCGCCTCTCAGGACGCCAACCTCCTGAAGTGGCGCCAAGAAACGGCCGAGACCGGCTTCGAGAAGACCCCAGCTGGATCCATGCAGATTAAGGCTGGGGGGGGGGCCTTTTCTCGGGCTTTGGATTCAAGGGGTTTAGGGGTTGGGGACTAGGGCTTTTGGGTTTAGGGCTTTAAGCCTTTAGGGTTTAAGGTTCAGTTTTTAGGGTTGGGGCTGCATTAATGGGTTAGAGGAGTTTAAGGGGCTAGGATGTCATGGTGAGCTGTAGGTCTTTGTTGGGGAGATGGGCTTGGGTCTTCAGGTTTAAGGGCCTTTGGGGGTTTGATGGTTTTAAGGTTTCAGGGATTTGGGCTCAAGCTCAAGGTCCGGGTGCAGTTGCTGTTTTTGTAGAGGTAGAAGCTGGGTTATATAGGCCTCCCATACGCCTCGTAGCAGAAAAAATCCGCCCACCTGAGCCCGTCCTGGACTCGTGTCCCTGAACCGTGAACGCTCGACCCTAATACCCTTCAACTCCGGACCCTGAACCCTCAACGCTGCAGATCCTAGAGGGTTTAGGGTTTAGGGTTTATAGGGTTTAGGGTTTGACCCGCATCTGAGTGCACAGGAGCAGGAGTACTTCGACAACGCCATCCTTATGGTCGCCATGATCAAGGCAAGCTCGGGGGAGTTCACGCCCAAAAAACCCTGGACCCGTGGACCCCAGACGCTGGGGCCTGTGCGGCAGGTGGGGGCGAGAGTCAGTGAAACGAGAGAGAGAGAGAGAGAGAGAGAGAGAGAGGGAGGAGAGAGAGAGAGAGAGAGATGGAGAGAGAGAGAGAGAGAGCAAGAAATAAAAGAGATCAAGACAAAACACGAGAGAGAGAGAGAGAGGGAGGGAGAGGGAGGGAGGGGGGAGGGACAGGGTTTCAGATGCCTCCCCGTAAATCTTAAAGACCCCCGTCCCGTAAACTTTACCTGAACAATTTACTGAACTGCGACCCTTTATGCTGGTTAATAACGCTCAGGATTATGAATAATGTTAGTGTGCCTTCGTTTCGTTGTATGTAGATCTCAAGGGAATTCTTCATAATCACCACTGTTTAAAAAAGATTCAGAAGGGGATTGAGTGAAGGCCGGTGTGGAGCTCGCGTTTGAGGAGATGGTGAAGGCCGGCCGAGGGGCTGAGCCAAAACCCTGAACACCAAATGCCTTCGGCCACAGGCAACATGAGTTGGAGGGAGGACTCGGGGTTCGGGTGCCAGCGGTTTCAGGGTCAGCTTGAGTTAGGGCTTCGGTTTGGGGTTTAATTAGGCGTTACCCTCAACCCGAACCAGCTCAACTGCAGCTGTAGCTTTGAAGATTAAAGCCATAATCGCAGGGACCCCCAAGAGGGACCGTGCGCGCTACCAATCTATGTAACCTTAAGTAGCACCACAAAAGCCCCTACCAAACTTCCGACGTTCCTAATGAGATGAAGATCCAGCCCCAACGCGAACCTGCATAACTCGTCTCTGCGAAACCTCGTGACCACGCAGACGCCTAACTAGACCCTAAACCCCCCAAACCCAAAGCCCCTTCACCCCTGAACCCTAAACCCTAAACCCTAAAACCTAGCCCTAAACCCTAAACACTAAAGCCCTGAGGTGGGTATGAAGCCGGAGAGCGCCTACTACGAGTCCCTCCATGAGACGCCGCTCATCGCCAACACCATTGCCAGAAAGCCGCTTGGAGTACCAAGGGTTTAGGGTTAGGGTTTAGGGTTGGCTAGTGACCAACACCACACATGTATACATGTAACATGTGGCAGAGGCCATTGGTTGCTGAAGACTGCCTCTTGTAAAGTTGTAAAGTCGGAAGCCACTATGGAAATGGTCCCAGGTGCAGAATTATTAAGATGCAAGTTTCCGGCATGTCCAAAACAAGTATCGACGTTGATAGATCATATAATCTTCCCAAATATGGGATCCACGAAACGAGCTTTAGAATGGATGTCACCCAATGTTTCAAGAAGTGTACCAGAAAAGATGACAATGCACAAATCAAGAACGCTGTAACCAAGAAAACACGAGGAAATCAGTGGGATAGTCTTGAATGTATGACTCTGGGATCTCAGACTCTAAACCCTAAACCCTAAGCTCCTCCCTGAATCCCTAAACCCCACAGGGCGTGATGCTTTAAATTTAAACCTCGATCTCCACCAGGGGTCTTGCCTTCTGGGTGCAGTGTGGCAGTTTGGGGGAGTCATATACTCCAGCGGCAGTTCGGGGCAGCCATATTTCTCCAGGATTCACTGTTGTTTTCGCAGGTTTTGAGCTTCGGGTTCAGCACCCTTGCCCTAAACCCTAAACCCTAAACCCTAAACCCTAAACCCTAAACCCTAAACCCTAAACCCTAAACCCTAAACCCTAAACCCTAAACCCCTTCCAAGGAAGCTGTATGAGATGAACAAGGTTATCTCAGACACCGCCGAGTACGGCTGCCCCAGCCTGAGCAGTTTGCCTTGGCTTTCCAGGGATGCCGGCCAAGGCGTATCAGGTCCCCGAACCCTAGAACCCTAGAACCCTAGAACCCTAGAACCCTAGAACCCTAGAACCCTAGAACCCTAGAACCGCAGAACCCAGAACCCTAGAACCCCAGAACCCCAGAACCCTAGAACCCTAGAACCCTAAACCCCTGAGTCCCAAACCCTTCATGTCAACCTCTAAGCCCTATGCCCTATAGACCCCTGAAGAGCAATCATGGGACGCAATTAAGGTTGTTCATGCAGCCTTATGTTCAGGGTTCAGGGGCACCATAACCTTTGGAGATGCACAGTTGACAGGCCGCCTCTACACTTGTCAAGGCGGTTTAGGGTTTAGGGTTTCGGGTTCAGGTTTTCGGGTTTAGGGTTTAGGCACTTTTGCTTAGGTGGTGTAGGGTTTTGAGTTTAGGGTTTCAGCGCCCTAGGGTTTGGGGCTTGAGGGCTTTGGGGGAGTTTAGGGCTTTAGGGGCTTCAGGGTTTTGAGGGTGTGGCGTTTTGGGCCTTAAGGTTTCCGGGTTGCCAGGGCATGATGTTTTTTTGAGGGAACTGCCCCTAAACCCTAAACCCTAAACCCTAAACCCTAAACCCTAAACCCTAAACCCTAAACCCTAAACCCTAAACCCTAAGCCCTAAGCCCTAAGCCCTAAGCCCTAAGCCCTAAACCCTAAACCCTAGCCCTAAACCCTAAACCCTAAACCCTAAACCCTAAACCCTAAACCCTAAACCCTAAACCCTAAACCCTAAACCCTAAACCCTAAACCCTAAACCCACCCCCACATGTCAAGAAGCAAGAGATGCGGAGGCTACCTCTACACCCAGTCCTGCGTGCCTTTGCTGAAGGACCTCGGAGTGCACCTGGGCCCCCCCAAACACCGCTCCCGACCCTTCCTTCCTTCTCTGACTTGGGGTTTAGGGTTTAGGGTTTAGGGTTTAGCGTTTAGGGTTTAGGGCTTAGGGCTTAGGGCTTAGGGCTTCGGGCTTGGGGCTTCGGGTTTAGGGCTTAGGGTTAGGGTTTAGGGTTTTGGGTTTAGGGTTTTAGGGTTTAGGGTTTTAGGGTTTAGGGTTTAAGCTCAGCGAAGCCCACTTCCCCACCCTTTTGCACCGGAAAGCGCTCCGCAGGACTTCATGGCCAAGGTAGACACCAGCGTGATTGGCACCAAGTACAACAAAGGCCCGGACGCAGGGTTTAGGGTTTAGGGTTTAGGGTTTGGGGTTTGGGGTTTGGGGTTTGGGGTTTGGGGTTTGGGGTTTGGGGTTTGGGGTTTGGGGTTTGGGGTTTGGGGTTTGGGGTTTGGGGTTTAGTGCCCTAAACCTTCGAATTCCCTAACCCCCTGTTGAAGGTTATGCAAAATATTATATGAATAGATGCTGATATGTATACTTATTTATTTCTATTTGTTTATGTATACTTATACATACATATGTATATATATATATATATATCTCTCTCTCTCTCTCTCCATCTCTCACTCTCTCGCATTCTTTTGGTTTATGCCAAAGGTTTTAGGGTTCTGTTCCAGGGCTCTGCGCATTTTCGGAGTTGCCGGGTCCCTGAGGCGACAACGGCGTCGACAACCAGGCGCTGTTGGCGGCGACCTGCCTTGTTGTTTAGGGTTTGGGGTTTGGGGTTTGGGGTTTAGGGTTTAGTGTTTAGGGTTTAGGGTGGGTTATGGCCGGAGTTCTTCCGGTTCGGGTCCTGTTCTTCTCAAGGTTCAGGGCGCAGGTGGCTGTAGGAGTTGTGTCAACGCCGGGAGGTCTTGTGGATGGGATCGTCTCTCCAAGCTGTTGCAAAGAAAGCGCAAGTCGCACACAATCGGGAATGAAAGGCAGAAGAACACTCCGGAAATGACTGAACATGAAGCGCAAATAGTTATCCGCGTGCTCTTTTATAGAGCCCCTTCACTCAATTCCCTCACCCCCAAAAATCCTTGAACCCTGCACCCCTGAAAGCTCAAACCCCATGCGCATGTCTCATGGGACTTACGGCCCACGACAAGGCCGCAAGCCCCGTAAACCCTTTACGCCACTATCGTGTCTATCAAAGGCCCATCGCAAACACTGAACCTCCCTGCTTAAACCCCAACACCTACAGCCCTGAACCATGAACCCCTACGAAATGCCCGATAAGCCCCAGACCCGAAACCCTGAACCGACATCCCTAAATTCCCCTAAGCCCCGGACCCTAAGCCCTAAACCTTAAGCGAAAATCTAGAACCCCTAAACACTGAAACTCTAAACCTCTGAAGCCCCAAACTGGCTTCCTGGGGCTTCGTGGGGGTGGGTGCTGAGGTGAACGAGGCAATCGCCTCGCACCCCGTCGAGGCACCTCATTTCCTGATTTCGGGCGCAGGGGTTTAGGGATCTACCGATTATAGGGTTTAGCGGGTTTGAGGTTTCGGGTTTGGGGCTTTAGGGTTTTCGGGCTTTTTGGGACTTCATGAGGGTTTTAGGGTTTGAGGGCTTTTCGGGGTTCTAAGGCATTGTTTCTTTTCTCAGGAATTTGGTTCAGGGGTTTAGGGTTTAGGGCTTCTGGGGTCAAGGCTTCCGGCCGGGGGGTGGGGTGGTCGTGGACTTGTGGGGCCTTGTGGTAGGACGAGGAGGGGAGGTATGGGGTTTAGGGTTTAGGGTTTCGGGTTTAGGGTGAGCTGCTTGCAGCAGGTGGTCGGCAGAGAACTGCGCGGCCACATGACGGCCATGAAGCTCGGCCGGAAGCATGAGCCCAGAAGTCCCTAATCCACAGTTCCCTTTAGGGTTCAGGGTTTAGGGCTAGGGTTTTGGGTTTTGGGTTTTGGGTTTTGGGTTTAGGAATCATGTTTCGTTTTTCGAGGATCCGGAGTCGGCCCTGACTCCCTTTTTTAGGGTTGGGGTTCCCTTAAAATCCCCTTTATCTTGGGGTTTAGGGTTTAGGTTTAGGGTTAAGGGTTTAGGGTTCACGGTTTAGGGTTTAGGGTTCAGGGTTTAGGGTTTAGGGTTCAGGGTTTAGGGTTTAGGGTTTAGGGTTTAGGGTCCTTTTGGTCCTAATTAGCCTACTCCTGGGTCTAGCCTTGCTTCCAGAGAACCCCAAAGGAATATCAAACAAAGGAACCTAAAGCAGAGTATGCTTATCACGCTTCTAGTCGGGAGTATTCCTTGAAGAGACTCTCAAAGCTGCCCAAACCCCCAACCCCCCCACCCACCCACCCACCCACCCACCCACACACACACACACACACAAAATAGAAAAAAACTAAAACCTGAAACCTGTTAATCGCCGTACCCTGCAGTGGCATAAAATGCCATGGGTTGGCTTTCTTGAAGTCGCATTCAGGGTGTTTTAACGTCAACAAAACCTAAGTGCAGGAGGGCAAGACTGATTTGTTGCCATCTGAAAAGTTGTTGCGACCGCCGTTCTCGTCATGTCTTTCCCTTCAGTCTTACGTTACCCCGGGCCCAACTTTAGTCCGACTCCCGTAGAAGGTATATCACTAGAGGTACCTACCCCTTAAAGCCCTAAACCCTAAACCCTAAACCCTAAACCGTGCGACTTTTCTGAGTGCTTTTTTGTTGGGAGTTGGAAGCCTCCCCTTCGGCTGCAGGTATTCGGGCGGTTAGGCAGGGTGATGTGGTTTGCGGGCTCATGTGACACAGGGTTTGGTGAGTGTATATAAGGTTCCTGTGTAATCTTGGTGAGTGTATGTACCAGGTGTCCTTTTGGGGGTACAAGAAATATAAACCCTACTTCATGTGGGGAGATGCTCAACACTGAATCCCCAAACAATCGGCCTTGGGCTTTTGAGCGAACAAGCAAGAACACTGCAACAGGATGGAGCAAGCGAGGGTCAGCGGTTGTAGGATCCCTAAACCCTAAACCCTAAACCCTGAACTATGACGGTGGCAGCTTCCTGCTTTGGGCCCCCTAATCCCTGAACCTTAACTACTACTTGCTTCGGAGCCCTCCAAAAAAGAAAAATATTCTTCCCCACATAAGGGCAAGCTTTTTTTTTTTTGTGGGGGGGGGGGGGGGGCAGGGTCCTTAAGCAAATAGTAGTTAGACCCTAAACCCGTTTGGCCCACCCAGGAAGAAGATCGCTGTCGGTGCGTGAAGCCCTTTCCGGATGGAAGTCGGTGCAGGCCTTTCCTAGGATGCCCAGTAGTGCCCTTATTCCCTTTTTGGGGCGTTTAGGTTCCCTTATAAACCCTTTTAAGCAAAAAAGGGGGCACCCTTTTAAGCCTAGGTTACTGACC